GGGGGGGGGAGGATGGGAAGGAATGGGAAAAGGAAACAAAGGAGGAGGCTATAATGCTTGATAAGAAATGTACTCATTATCTTGCCCATGTAATTGTAACCCCTCTGTACAGTATTTTCACAATAAAAAAAAGAAAGGTAATTATAAGCATATGAGCTAATACTTTTCCTGCCAATACTGGTTTTGTATTGTAAGAACAGGATTAATAATACTAATGTGGTTGATTTTTATTAGAGTAAAATAATAACCCTGAAGAGGAAATAACATCTCACAATCAGAAGTTTTCAGAACTTAGGAATACTATTGCAGAAAGCATTAAAACTTGGGCTCAATCCCTGAGGGCTACTTCTTTATACTGACATTTCTTAGGGGGACAGAGAGATGGTGGTTGTTTAGTATATTTAAACTTTCTTCACTTTAATAAGGAAATAATAGTCCGTCTCTGTTTTATAAAGTTGCTGTAAAAATTATGACAAATTTTTTTACTTAATTTGTATTCATTAGGTAAGGTATCCTCTAAATATTAACACTGTGCAAAGTACTAAACATAGATTCATATAGTCATATTAAAGGAGTCTGTAGTAGCATTGTTTTCATTTTCTACTGGGTAACATACTGCTAATTTAGAATGCAGTATATGAGTAAACTTTGTGTCACATCAGGTATTCATTCCCTTTTGTAATCTGGCTCCATTTGAGTAGAAAAGTATGCCAAGCACTGAGTGAATCTGTCAAGCACGGAAAATTAGTAACTTTTTTTTATGGCGTTTTCATAAAGTTAAAGGCATTCTTTTAGAATTTTGAAGGTATCTTGGTAACATTGGTCACTGCTGGTTCTTTTCATTGGAAGTGATTCTTTGGTTTAGTCTTTCTCCAAGACTTGGCATTTTAGAATAACTGATTTATAATTATCTTTTATTTATAATTTCTGTTTATCACACTTTATAACTTGCGGTGAGAGCTTCTAAGAAACCTGAGGAAACTGGCTCTACTGTCTTACTGAGCCAGTTATTCTCGCCCCAAACAACTTTTTTTTTTCCGTTAATACAGTAACCATAACATTGTAAGCATTTTTTTGTTATTAAGCTACTCACATTTTGTAATGTAGTAAGTGAATATTTTTCCAAAATAAGGCATGTATTTCTATATATTGTATATATCTGCTATATATCAAGTTCCATATGTATAGCTTTCACATGACTTGTGGAAGTTTAAAAGAACAGGAATTTTAAATTTCTGTATTAACTTTTCAAGGATATGTTAATAGGTAAACCTATTTAATATCTTATCCTAGCACTTCCTCATTATTATGACAAGTACTTTATGAAAGAGTGTGGGACCAAGGGTTCTGTATGTATGTATTCATATATTTATGAATACTGTTTTAAGTACAGTGTGAAAATTATTTACATTAATCCTCACAACTTTTAACATGGTACTATATTACATGTCACTCATTTTCAAGGGGAAGGATATTGGGGAATGTAGTCTTTTTATAGCACACTTGTTAAGCTCTTATGGAATTAGATTATATGAACAATCCAGGAACCCCTGAATTCTTCACCTTCCATACAGAAAAAGATGCTGGAAACTAGTGGCTTTTCCAGAAAGGTTTTAGAAATTGAGGATTTGAGTATTTACTTAGAAAATATATTTCATTATTCTTAAAATACCATCTTACTTTCCAGATTGAGAGAGATTGCTGATATTGCTAAAAGGCAAGTTGATTTTTTGAATGCTCAGCAACAGTCCAGGGAAACGGAGGTAAAATCCCTCAGAACTCAGCTACTTGACTATCAGGTATGTGTCCTAGTGGTTCTTCACATACTGGTATAATATTCTAGTTTTGCTCTGAAGATTTGCCCACCCATGCTTCTTATTGTTAGTTTAAATCTGATTTAGATTTGAAATTTAGACGTTCTTTAATTTGAATAGTGTTCATTTAAATACTTGCAGATGCTGGCTGCGATCAAAATCAAAAACCTAAGGAGAAGTAATCAAACAGTTCTTAAAAAGGGAAAAAAACAAATCGTTTCAATAGGGATACAGGTGGACCCATTGCAACAATGAGATGTACAAGTCATTATGTCGAAAATGAACTTTACAACTGTGGTTGGGGGTGGGGAGGAGGATTGGGTGGTGGGGGAGGGAGGAGGCTGGGCAGGGAAGGGAAGGGGAAACAAAGGAGGAACCTACAATGCTTGATAAGAAATGTACTCATTATCTTGTCCATGTAATTGTAATACCTCTGTACAATATTTTCACGATTTAAAAAAAAAACAAGAAGAAAAAAAAGCAAGATTTTTATCTTGTGCTTATGTGTATCTTTTCACATATTCTAATATTTCTTGAGAATTAAAAACATACATACATTAACAACATCAGTGCTGTGCCAGTGTTACTATTAACATGTGGAAGTTAAATTTAAAAGTAATATTTCAACTGATATTTCACTAGAATTTTTAGTACGTTGATCCTAAGTTTTTATCTTATATGATTCTTTGGAAATTGCAATAAAACAAAGATAGAGTTTTTGTAGAATACATGGACCACACTACTTTGAAATTTAACTTTATAAAAGCTTCATTGGAAAAACTTGAAACACTACAAATATGTATTTCTAATGTCAGGCACAGTCTGATGAAAAGGCACTAATCGCAAAGCTGCACCAACATATTGTCGCTCTTCAAATCAGTGAGGCTGCTGCTCTTGGTAAGCTGGAGTCAGTTGCATCTAAACTTCAGAAGATGGAGACCTGCAACTTGCGCTTAGAACAGAAACTTGATGAGAAAGAACAGGCTCTCTATTATGCTCGTTTGGAGGGGAGAAACAGAGCAAAACATTTGCGGCAAACAATTCAGTCTCTGCGTAGACAGTTCAGTGGAGCTTTACCCTTGGCACAACAGGAAAAGTTCTCTAAAACAATGATTCAGCTCCAGAATGACAAACTTAAGATAATGGAAGAGATGAAGATTTCTCAGCAAGAACATAGAAATATGGAGACTAAATCCCTGGAAATGGAATTAAAATGGAAGGGTTTAGAAGAGTTAATAAGCACTTTGAAGGATGCCAGGGGAGCCCAAAAGGTAAATGTTAGCCGAAGTTCACTATTTTCAAGAATCTTTTAATAATCTTAAGTTCTTAATACGTTCTTAACAGTTCATAATTGAAAACCAAAATGTACAATTTGGGTCCGTCAGTATAATTCTTTAAGTTAGACTTTATTTAGATTCTATTTAATTTTTTACTACTAGGTCCATGTTTCTTTTAAATATGACTTTGTTTTTTTCCCTCAATTGGCAGGATTTAAATGGAAAATAATTACCTTACCTCTGAATCTTGTTCTCTAGGCTAGAAATGTTTGAGTTTTTTCAGTACTGGGGTAAACATTCACATTTTTAAAAAGTAGTACAAATGTTTCAGTAACCTGTTTATAGTAAATAACTAATAAATGGCAATAAATGAAAAAATATATTAATATCTAAACCAATAAAATTATTTTGGCAAATGTTTTATTGTCATTTCTTAATTATTTTAGAAAAGTCTATGAAAGTTGTAAATAAAGTTTGCCCATGAAGCTTTGCCAAGGGATAATTTTTTATACATTATTTTGGTTTATCCGTTAATTTTAATTTAAATCATTGTAATGGTAGTGAAATACAAAAATGCATTTACATTAATGCTTAATTTATAAATCTTAGGTAATCAATTGGCACATGAAAATAGAAGAACTTCGTCTTCAAGAACTTAAACTAAATCGAGAATTAGTCAGAGATAAAGAAGAAATAAAATATTTGAATAATATAATATCTGAATATGAGCATACAATCAATAGTCTGGAAGAAGAGATTGTTCAGCAAAACAAGGTTTCATTTTATATTTTGGTGTTTTGTGACTAAGATTTTATATAAACATAGAATATTGCATGAATAGCTATTCTAATTGAATGTAACTTACAGTATATATGGATTATAAAATAACTAGCTTTTAATTATTGAAAAATACACATTTATTTAGTTGTAACAATTGCCTACACTTTAAAGAAGCAGTATATAAACAAATGTATTAGGTAGGTTAATTTGCTTTGCTATTCTTTATTTGACTTCTGCAATTATTTGCACTCTCATTGATAAAGTAGAAAGCATCCTATGTGAAATAAAGTACAAGCTTTGTAGATAGATGAAATTCACCAAGTACTTCCTGACCTTTGTGTTTTTGTGGTTCATGCTGCTTAGATTTTCTTTTCCTAACCACTGTGTTTATAATTTCACAGCCTTAAGATCTTAAGTTAAATATTTTACCTGATTAGTATAACTTTGATCAGTTACCTGATCTAGAACTGTAAATCCTATCATAAGATTCCCTGAATAAAAATTACTTCATTTTGTTCTCCATGGTGTATGCCACTGACTGACATATTATATACTTGTTTTGTTTTTAATTTCCTGTTTCCTCCTCAATGGAATATAACTGTTCATTGCTCTGTTTGCACTACCTAGACTAGTGTCATTAGATATGTTTGGAATGGGTGGGCTGATGAATAGCTTGAGATTCTGGTTTCATATCTATTTGTCTCTGTGATGTTAGGCAAGTTAATTCACCTCTGAGTTTGTATCCTTTTTCATTAAACAAGAATAATTATACTGACTTAAAATGGTTATAATGAGGCTTAAATAAGAAAATGTATTTAAAAAATCTGCCAAATGTCTCCTCTCCGTGTGTATGTCTGACCCTTCTTGTCTTCTTTATAGTTCCATGAAGAAAGACAAATGGCCTGGGATCAAAGAGAAGTTGAACTAGAACGTCAACTAGATATCTTTGATCGTCAGCAAAATGAAATATTAAATGCTGCACAAAAGGTAGGAATGATTAATCCTGCTTGCTACCCAATAGCATGGCTTTGAGAACTCATTGAGAGAATAATTTACAAATCAAGTATAATTTTAATTGAAGTTATGCTTTTATGTTTGAAATATAAATGTGGTTTGGTCTATTTTATCAAATATTTTTAAATATTAATTTTGTTATTTTTACTGTTTGTTGCAATTGCTTTTTTAAGAACATGTTATTTCTTAATAGTTTGAAGAAGCTACAGGATCAATGCCAGATCCCAGTTTGCCACTCCCAAATCAACTTGAGATTGCACTTAGGAAAATTAAGGAGAATGTTCGAACAATTCTAGAAACTCAGGCAACTTGTAAATCATTGGAAGAGGTAATTAGAAGAGTTTACATTTTGGTTTGTGTATTTTATTGGTTATGTTTGTGTAATTTTCTAAATAATGTTTATTAATGATGCTGTAGCATAAAATTATGAATCTTTTGTCAATTGAACTCTTGGTATTCTATAATACTTCTATTAGCTGGTAATGAAAAGCAGAGGTAGACATAATCTTTATAATTTTATGAACAGTATTACCTACCTTTTAAACTTTCTAAACTTTCTTCTCCTCCTCCACTTCCTCTTCCTCTTCTTCCCCTTTTATCATCATTAGTAATATGTGTGTGTGTGTGTGTGTGTGTGTGTGTTTCTGTGCAGTAATGGGGCTTCAACTCAGTTTCATGTACTAGTTAGAAAATCTACCATAAAAATCATACCTCCGCCAGGTGCCGGTGGCTCATGTCTGTAATCCTAGCTACTCAGGAGGCTGAGATCTGAGGATCAAGGTTCAAAGCCAGCCTGGGCAGGAAAGTCCATAAGACTCTTATCTCCAGCAAACCCCCAGAAAACTAGAAGTGGTGCTGTGGCTTAAGTGGTAGAATGCTAACCTTGAGCTGAATTGCTGACTTGCTGGGGGACAGTGCCCAGGCCCAGAGTTCAAGCCCCATGACCAACCAAAGAAAACCCAGAAAACCTCTACCCCTTTATTGACTGTTATGTTTGAGGTAGAATCTTGATTCCTACCTGGGTATGCATCTGGATGCAATCCTCCTGTTTGTTTGTTTTTGCTTTCAGTTGCAGCTGGGATGGCAGACATAAACCACCTTGTTTGAAGAGTAGGTCTCTCCAACTTTTTTGCCTTGTTTGGCCTTAAATGACTATCATTTTTATCTTATCCTCCAAGTAGTTAAGATCACAGGTGTGAACCACTGGTGCCCAGCTCTCATCCTTCCTTAATATGTATATATATATATATATATATATATATATATATATATACACATAATTCAGTGTATACTGTGTTAAACAGGTTTCAGTTCATTCATTTTTATGACCGTCTAAATGAGAAGGTAAACTAGAAATCAGTTACTGTAAATACTGAATTTGATTAACAGGTTATGAAATCAGTTTTCATTTTTTAAATTTACCCAGAAAATAGTGTAAACTGGATATTATTTCCAGTTTAAAAATTAACAGTGAGTACATTCAAAGCAATTTTTCTGTAAAATTAATTTTAATTAGAGAAACCTAGAGTTTCCTCAGAAAATGTAAAATTTATAGTTGATGCAATTAAGTTACTTGATTTAAAATATCTGCCTTAAACTTACTGAAGAGTAAAAACATTTTTCTACTTTTTTTACTTTTTAACGTTCAGATTTTATAATAGCAATTCATTGACTTGAAAGCTAAAATTCTAGTTTCATGTTCTGCTGACATTTATGGATTAGTTTTCTGGTGCTGTAGTAGTCAAGGGACTGAAGTGAAATGAGTGATTTACTACATTTTGTTCTAAATCTAGTACCACTATTCATTTCTAATTTTAAGCTGTAGGATCTAAATAAAGAGGCTTAATTAAATCTCCTTTTCAGCATAGCAGTGAAGTTTTAAGTAATTGATAACTAAAATATTCATGCAGATATCCTGGCTGACCCATAAAAATAGTCAATGTAATCTTCTTGTCAAATAATTATTATAAATATGTGAAAGATACAACTCCTGTTTTGTTTATAACTAATATAACTAAAACTCAGATAGCACACTTTAATCATTTATTATGGTTTAACTACAGAAGCTAAAAGAAAAAGAATCTGCTTTACGGTTAGCAGAGCAAAATATTCTGTCAAGAGACAAGGTAATCAATGAACTGAGGCTTCGGTTGCCTGCCACTGCAGAACGGGAAAAACTTATAGCTGAACTAGGAAGAAAAGAAATGGATCCAAAATCTCATCACACAATGAAAATTGCTCACCAAACTATTGCAAACATGCAAGCCCGGTTAAATCAGAAGGAGGAAGTATTAAAGAAATACCAGCATCTTCTAGAAAAGGCCAGAGAGGTATTATATTATGTTTTGCTATTTTATTGTCATGTTTTTAGGCAAATTTTATAGTGTACTAAAGTGGTTGTTTGTTGCTTTCAAATGATTCTATTTAGGAACTGTAGCTTTCACATGATTGATTATAGATCCGTCAATAAAACTGGCAGTTTGTATATGTCTTACCTTTCTTTTGTGGATCAGACTAAAGTAGGATAGGTGAAAACATGTTATTTTAAAAATAACATAGAATTTACATGTAAGGAGAGAGCCAATAGTTAAAATATCACACTGGTGAACACTGGAGGTCAGATTTACGAGAATTGTGGAAATATATCTATGTTTTTCAAGTTAAAATTTGATAGATCCAAATTTTTCTAATATGAGTAAACTATGATCTCAGCTAGGTTTGTCACCATGAACTTGTGCTGGGAGAGATATTTATTCATCTACATACATGAACGAATATATTGTTTGCTCCATATCTCAAAAGTTTTAAAAGGCTAAAGGCAATAAAATAATCTTGGGATGTGTGAATATTGAATCACAATTTAAAATGCAGTTTGGGTTTTTTATAAAATAGGAACAAAGAGAAATTGTAAAGAAACATGAAGAAGACCTTCATATTCTTCATCATAAATTGGAACTGCAGGCTGATAGTTCACTCAGCAAATTCAAACAAACAGCTCAGGTAAGATTTTGAAAACTGTTTGATACTTTATTGAGTTTTTAGATCACACAATTTAAAATTTACATCACTTCAGACTAGAAGTCACCTCACCTTTTTTGTCAGAATAATCTTTGAAAACACAGCTTTGATAATTCTTCCTTTTAGATTCAAATCCTTGAGAAGCTCAGTACTACTCCCTAGATCTTGTTTCTTCTCCTTTTCTATGTACTGAAAGCCTCCTGTAATCAGCCCTCAATGTTTTCACATTCTGCTCATTATGAGTGTATTGTTTTCCATCTGTATTCAGCCCCTTTTGGTCACTGTTTTCTATAGTAGTGAAATGACTATATGTCTTAACAGGTAATATTAGGATCCTTGAGCCTTACATTAAGCTTTGAGCCTTCAATTAGCCAAAACAAATTGTAAAATGGAATTTTCTTATATAAAACAACATTTCTTGTTCCTCTACTACATGCACACCCTTTGCTAAATACTGAGAATAATAAAAGTAATGTCTGTATTCTGTCTTCATTAAGCCTCATTTTCCTCTTAAGTTTTAAATGGTATGTTGTGATCATTTGGGAGGCTAAATTCGAATTTAGAAAAAGAATGCCATTGAATTAAAAATACCCAGAACTAATACATTAATATTTCCTAGGATTTAATAATGACTAATATATTCATATCTCATAGACTTTAATAAAACAGTCACCTACTCCAGTCCCTACAAACAAGCATTTTATTCGTCTGGCTGAGATGGAGCAGACAGTTGCAGAACAAGATGACTCTCTGTCCTCACTTTTAACCAAGCTAAAGAAAGTATCAAAAGATTTAGAGAGACAAAAAGAAATCACTGAATTAAAAATAAAAGAATTTGAAGGTATCAAATTACGGTAAGTGTTAAAAAATGTATTTTAAAGATAAGCAAATTGAGCCAGCTACCAGTGGCTCATGCCTGTAATACTAGCTACTCAGCAGGCTGAGCTCTATAGAGCTACTAGGGAAGCTGAGATCTGAGGATCACGATTCAAAGCCAGCGTGGACAAAAAAGTCCCCATGAGACTCATATCCAGTTAACTACTCAAAAAAGCCAGATGTGGCACTGTGGCTCAAGTAGTAGAAGGCTAGCCTCAGGGACAGCACCCAGGCCCTGAGTTCAAGCCCCAGGGCTGGAAGGTGTGGGGGGAAGATAAGTAAATTGTATGTTATCATCCAGATAAACTTCAGTGCCTGCTGTGTCTGGCACCTGATACATATTTTCTCATCTCATTTAGGACACAGGTTGTGTTCTGATAGGAAAAGAAGCCTTAGGAAGTCACTGTGAGAGAGTAATGGAAAGCCACAGTTTGAAACTAGGCAGTTTGACTCAAGCAAATCAAGAACCCCATTTTGAACCTCTGACTGTCAATTTCATCCTCTATAAAGCAGAAATGTTAGTATTTACTCTGGTAAATACTTCAGAGTGCTCATACGGATCACCAAGTTGTTGCTTGGAAATTGTAATATCATATGTAAATAAAAAGTGTACACACACACACACACACACACACACACACACACACACCCCAAAAGAATGGCACCAGTAAGTAGAAGCACTTCTGGTATCCCACCTGAGCAGAAAAGTATGAGACCCCAAACCAAGAACTGGACCCTATTATCTTGACTACAGCAGGAAACCTAACTTGCATGGGATATGTTCAGGATGTCTCTGGGCACAAAGCAAGAGCCTATCCCAGAAATAACCAACAAAAAATGGGCCTGAACTTAGGCTCAGCAGTAAGAGTACCTGTTTAAGACCCTGAGTTCATATCACAATACAGTACCACCGAGTCCCTGACTTCAAATCCCAATACAGTACCACTAAATGAAAAAAAGATAATAGGCTCAATAAGGGTTTGTTAAGTAGAAAGTAATTTGTTTTTAATTACATTGACAATAGTGTTCAAGGCACTCTCCACATTGTAGATAATAAACACTTAACCACTTTATCAGAACATAGATTTATAATCATATATTAAGTTTTTGGTCATATAGTTTCTTTTTGTGCTCTACCAGGATATAAACTCGAGCCTTATGGTCACTCAGCTATCTTGCTCAACTGATAGTCTACCACTTGAGTCATTCCTCCAGCCCATCTTTTATTTCAGGCATGAACCAATGGCTCCATGTGGTCATGCAGTTTTGAATCAATGTAGAGCCATGTTTTGGGGCTTTGATTTTCCTGGCTGAGAAACATGAGGAAGTTATCCTACTTAACTGACAGTTCCATTTGTCTTCTGAAACCTTTATTGGACCTGATGTTTACACACCTATCCAAATGTCTCTGACAAAATTAACACATATTTGTTAATGTGTAAAGAATTACCTTTCTGTAAAAGGGAATTAGCAACAGCATATGAATTGTTTCTAAAACTAGTTATACTTTTGTAACTAATTTCTGAGTATAGAAAATATTGAAATACCTGTATCTGTAAAGGTTTTGTCAAGTATGTAATACTTAAAGCAGCTATTGTGTATTTTTATAAGGTTTATCCAAGTATTAATTGCAGCAAGAAATCTGGTAAATGAATATGTTTCTTTATGTCAGGCTCCAAGAAAACCATGCAGATGAGGTGAAAAAAGTGAAAGCAGAAGTGGAGGATTTACGGTGTCTTCTGGCCCAGTCACAAAAGGAATCACAGAATTTAAAGTGTGAACTTCAGACTCAAAAGGAAGCAAATTCAAGAGCTCCAACAACTACAATGAGAAATCTAGTAGACCGGTTAAAGAGCCAATTAGCCCTAAAAGAAAAACAACAAAAAGTAAGTTCACAACAGAAAGTTATCAACAGTTAGAAAAAGAAATAAGATTTATGCACTTAATGAAAAATAAGTCTGTGACTTGGTTGTTGCTGGCTTACATCTGTAATCCTAGCTACTTAGAAGGCTGAGATATAAAAGGTCCAGGTTCAAAGCCAGCCTATACAAAAAGGCCAACAGACTTGATCTAAAAATAAACAACAGAAACTCTAGGCTTCCATATAAGACTCAAGTCAGAGTACCAGCTGTACAAGCAAGCTGAGCAAGCCAAGCAAATGTGAGGCTGTCCCTGACTTCACATCCCAATACTGGCCAAGATAGTAGTAATATAATTGTGTGAGCTTTATCACATAATAAATAGGACATTTACTTTTTTTTTTCCAGTACTGGGGATTGTACTCAGAGGCTGGCAGTCTATCACTTAAGCCACACTTCCAACCAGTTTTTTTGTTTTTGTTTTTGTTTTTGCTGGTATTTCTAAGATAGGTCTTACAAACTTTTCTGCTTGGCTAGCCTCCTTAATCCTCACTCTCTCAGTCTCAGTACCAATACAGGCATGAGCCATTGGCATCCAACTTACTTTTCTGCCACTAATGATTTGTAGATTGTTGGTAGGAAATGTGAGGGAATCTTACATTATTTATTCTTTCCTTCTGGATTTTCTGCTATAGATAATGTTTTGAACCATTGAATAATACTGACTGATTTGACAATTATAAGAGGGAGATTGAGATTAGTTAGTAAATGGAGAACTTGAAGAAGAGGACAACGATATGACTTTGTGGAAAAGAGATAGCTAGTAGATTATCTGTTTTTTTAAGGGTTTGTTCATTTAGCTTAGTTTTGATAATACTGAAATTTCTTAGAAAGTATAATTTTTAGTCTTAGCTCATGATTTTACTGATAAGTATTTTAAAATAGTATTCCTAACTTGCCTAATTTCAGATGGTTTCACATGGATGGATATAAAGTGAATAATTTATTAATATTTAAAGTTGGGTATTTGAAAACTTGGTTTTATAATATAAAACACTTGATTTAATGCTTGGTTCTCATAATTGTTGCCAAGATTTTGAAATCTGAATTTTAAAATCTCAATTTTGAAAGAATTGAGCATAATTAATTCAGTAAATTTATTTGAAAAAGTACAGTTGATCAAACGTGTAGTTTAGGAAGATATTAGAAAGTAAAGTTTGTTTTTACTTGTATGTTGGTCATATAGCATTTCAATTTTCTTTGAAAATTTTTAATATATGTTGCAATTTTTAGGCTCTTAGTCGAGCGCTTTTGGAACTCCGGGCAGAAATGACAGCAGCAGCTGAAGAACGTATTGTTGCTATAACTTCCCAAAAAGAGGCTAATCTCAATGTTCAACAAATTGTGGATCGACATACCAGAGAGCTAAAGGTGAACATCAAAACATATATTAGGGCCGGGCGCTGGTGGCTCACGCCTGTAATCCTAGCTACTCAGGAGGCTGAGATCTGAGGATCGCGGTTCAAAGCCAGCCCGGGCAGGAGAGACCGTGA